TCATCTACAATGTCATGGACACAGGCGGATCCACGTAGGTCTGAGGGTGGGCAATTGCCCACCCTAAAACCAGAGAAATGAATAAGAAGGGAGGCCATTTTGGACTTTTGCCCACCCTAAAATTAATATTTTTGCCCTAATCCAACACATTGCCCAACTCGAAGCCTATACCGACGTGATCTCCCTCTCGTTCATCCTCCACAATGGGGTCCCCAGCCTCCAGGCCTTCAAGAACGTCTTCGGCTGGGTCACATCTCCCCTCATCCCTAACTCCATCATCGTCCATGTCGGTACGCGCTCGAGATCATCACTAATGGGAGGTACCACAGCGTCCTTCACCGCGGGCTTGGTAATAAAGAAAACATTCGGATTTCTTGGGTTGTTTTCTGCGAGCCGCCGAGGGAGAAGGTTGTGCTTCGGCCACTGCCGGAGCTGGTTGGAGAGGGGGAGGTGACGAGGTTTGAACCGCTGACGTTTGCGGGGCATTTGGAGAGGAAGTTGTTCAAGGCAAGGGTGGCAGGAAGCGAAGACAGGGCAGTTCAGAGGAAGAAGTCGCCACTGCACGCTGATGGGGTGGGAATAAAATTTAGATTAAAATATTCCGATTCGAATTATGTATGAACGGATTTATTTTTTGTTTATTGGGTTTATTTTATGATGAGAATGATACAATAATTAAAATATTACGATCATCTGAGCTCCAATTTGGGCAAACTTATAGTCGTACTAAGTGTCTCGGAAATACGAACCCAACGAAATCAAATTCAACTCAATCCGAGCCTAAATGTGTCCGAATCGAAGACCAGAAGCGTTGTTCGAAGGTTCAAACAACAATTTGAATTACCAAACAGTTTCCAAACATGTCATGTTTATAGTCAAATCGAGCAACTTGATGAGACGAATCTAACGAGCGGCTTGACTAGACTGAATAGCAAAGTTATGTAGCAAAGTTTTCTTTTTCTAAATAACAAAGGTCTGTATAAATGATTTTTTTTTTCTGAATAGCAATGTTCTAAATCAAGAAAGTCAGCAAACAAATCTTGTAAAAACAGAGCATCCAAAATATATTATTATTATTATTATTATTGTTGTTGTTGTTGTTGTTTGATTAATTAAAATTTTGCCCACCCTGAAAAAAGATGGATCCGCCCCTGATTACGATTACTTACAGGTGGAATCATTTTCATTATATTATCAAGCCATCTATATTAATAGTTTAAAATTATAATATTATTTAATATGAAATTTAATTTTTATTGCAAATGAGAGGATTCAAAAATTATTTTAAAATATCCTATTTTAAAAATAATCATAATAAATTCTAAATTTTAAATTTTATTTTAAGAAGTGTAATATAAATAAAATATCCCAAAGAATATGATATCTATTAAATTTTAAGATGAGGTAATTAAGACTTCGTTAAAATATTTAGGGAAGAGGATAACTGATAATGAGGAAGAAAGAGCTGATTGGGTGATATTGGACTCTATAGGAGAGGAGGAAGATGAGAGAGCAGTTCATCATAAATATGATTCAAATGAAGACCCCCTTAGTGATGACTAATGAGTGATGACAGTGCTGATGACTATATGATATATTAATGTCATTGCTATTTATCTTGTGCATTTTTATGTTCTATATATTATTTACTCATTAGTATATACTAAATTTATCATTTTATATTTACGCAATTTTTTGATTTTAAGGCTTACGCCTTAAATCGCCTTGAGGCTTACGCCTCGCCTCACGAACGAAAAACGCCTCAATACCCGATTACGCAATTTTAAACCTTGAGCTAGACTTTATTTTCATGAAGTGGTTCGATTGCATGGTAAACTCAAAACAATCACGTCTGACCGAGATGTTAAATTCCTTAGCCATATTTGGAGAACTCTTTGATCAAAATTGGGGATTAAGCTACAATTCAGTTCCACGGCTCATCCGCAGACAAATGGGCAGACGGAAACGGTTAACCTTAGCTCAGGAAACCTCCTAAGATATTTTGTTGGGAAAATCATTCGATTATGGGATGAAATTTTGGGACAAGTGGAATTTTCCTATGATAAATCTCGAAACCAATCTACAGGCCGGAGTCCATTTGAAATTGTGTATTGACAAAACCCCACGGGGCCACTTGAACTAACACCTCTTGTTTCTTCTACAACTCATAACACAGATGCTGAAGCACGCGTCAAAGAAATCCAACAACTTCACAAGCAAGTCCAACAGCAAATACAAAAGCAAAATGCTAAGTACCAAAGGCAGGCAAACAAATCTAGGCAACTTGAACACTTCAAAGAAGGAGATCTAATATGGATAAGATTAAGCAAAGAGAGATTCCCCAATAAAAGATACAACAAGCTCCAGCCTAAAGAAGAGGGACCTTTCCATATCCTTAAACGCATTAATAATAATGCTTTTCAATTTGAGTTGCCTAAAAATTTGCAAATCTCACCTATTTTTAATATTGCAGATTTATCACACCATTACGATTCTACAACGGCATCCAATCCGAATATAGACATCATTCACACACAACAAGACGGTGACGAGCGAATGGGCCCAGTAGAAGCCAATACTCAACACCATGATACAATTGGCTCTTCTCAAGACTGGGGGAATGACACAGGAGTTGAACAACACCATGCCGACTTGATTATTCCGAAAGACCGATTCAAAAATAGCCAACCCAGACCGGACTAGAAACAGGCGTCCGGTCAGGTTTAGCCTGGGTTCAATAGCTGATTACTTGTATTTTAGAAGTCTATATACATAAGCCCTTAAGGATAGGTTTAGGCAGAGTTTTTCATAGAGTTTCCTCCCAGCATTATGTCCAGAGAATGCCTATATCCTGGGTTGGCAACAAGGTGGTGTCTTGCCGCTGAATAAAGTCTTTCTTTTCTTTTTCCATGTATGATCTTCTTCCTCGTTTCCTGCTTTTGTTGATTCCGCCTGCTTGTTTTGAGATGTCCGCCCAGTGTCAAGGAGGTTTTGAATAAGTGTTTGAAATTTAAATACTCTTGAGAACATTCAACTTATGAGATATATAGTTGTTATGACAAGTTCTCCTCAAAGATATGAACATTTACAAAAAAAAATATAAGTGATTAAGCTACCTTTAAGAGGTCTCTATTTTTTCCTTTCAACAACCTCATTTTATTGAGCATCAACAAAGCAATTTGGTAGATAATCTCTCAATATAAAAGATAATCTTTTATGATAGATTCTAAGTGTTATATGGCATTGTTAATATTAAAACTTGAATTTTGAACTGAATTTGTGTGTGGATCATGATGTTGAAGTATTTAAAAATTTATTCCACTTTAAAATTTTTTTGCATCAAGAAAAATCGGAGTAATGGTGAAATAGATGGGGATATTATTAGTAGAATTCAAGTTCGATGGTTGAAGTGGAGGAATGCATCGGACCTACTGAGTGATAAAAAAGTACCCCTCAAACTTATTGGAAAATTCTATAAGATGATGGTGAGACCTACAATATTTTATGGCACAGAATATTGGCCATTAACAATGAAGCATAAAATTAAGTTAAGTGTTGCAGAGATGAGGACAAGCAGGTGGATAACTGGCTTTATTCTTAGCAACATAATGGGAAACGAGCAAATACATGGAAAGGTTTGACTAGCTCCAGTGGGAGATAAGATTGGAGAGAGTCGGCTTAGATGATTTGGTCACCTAAAACGTCGGCCTTCTGATGACTCGGTTAAGAGAGTAGATTTATTAGATTTTGCCTATGCTAAGAAAAGTAAAGGTAAACTGAAAAAGACATGGTTAGAAAATATTAGAAATGACATTTTTTATTAGATTTAAATAAGAAATTGACTCTTAATAGGACAGAATGGAGAACAAGGATTAATGTAGCCGACCCAACGTGGGGTCGGCTACTATAATCTTTTTTCTAAATTGTTCTATTAAGAGTCAAATTCTCATTTAAATATAGTAAATAAAGGTCATTTATAATACTTTCTAACCAAATCTTTTTAGATTTACCTTTACCTTTTTAACATAGGCCGGATCTAAAACATCTACTCTTCTAACCAGATCATCAGAAGGCTGATGCAAGTAAAGTGCAAATCCATGAAAGGAAAAATTACTCAAAAAGTTTTTACATGGAACAACAGAAGTGGGTCAAAAAAGGGCTGCAAATCGTTATTATGACATGCAACCATTGTGGCATTGCCTACATCTTAATCATCCCAAAAAAGTTGTCAGCACTTTTACCGCCATTCTAGCTATTAGCTAAGCATAAGCACAATGTTTGCCAATAACTTGTCATCGATACAATAACTTTACAAAAGCACAATTTCAAGGGTGAACTTCTACGACCATTGTTTGGGTGGAATGATTCCACATGTAATGAGGATGTATGTCCCCTTTGGATGAGTGATATTCATAATTTTAGTTTCGTGAATCGCCACTTACTCATATAATTTTTCATTCAGAATAATGAGATTTATATTCCTATCTACTTGCAATTATGCTTCTTTCGTTGGCTACATCAAAACAATCAAAATGATCAATCTATAAACTTTTCTAAAAAGAATAAAAACAAGCATTTTGATATTAACTCAAAGAATGCAAGGGTAATTGTGGTACACAAGACAGTTTTTTCTACTTTCCTGATAATCTATGTGAAATTTTTTTGTCTTAAGTATTGTAACATTGCTTAAATTCAAAAAAAAAATACAATACATCAACTCATAGCTAAAACCACATTTTTCTCCATCAAAAGGTTCTAGTAAAATTCAACAACAATACAATGCAAGAATTAAAGAATAATCCATAAACTTCCTACATTAATTCATCTACTGCATTGACACACGTATCCTAGAATTATAATAAACTAAATAGAAAAAATCTTTCAACTTTAAGTGGCACATTATTCCGCAATAGTCATTGATCAGAACATGCGCAAGAGATACCTCGGAAACAAGACATCTTCCATAAATAAAATGCAATATGCACGAAGCAAAGACTTACAGGTAGATTTATGCTTCCCACTCTGCAAATATGCTGCAAAAGGTTCCGTATATGTGAGACATTGGAGGACTGAATTAAGATAACAAGTATTTCCCAGGTTCTCCAAACCAGCACCCTACAATAAAGCATATCTTTCATGTTTAGGAAAAATTCATATAGCAAACCATATTGATTTAGATTCACACGCAGTTTAAGTTAAGGTTGAATAATAAACAAAATTCACAAGGAGGACTAAGCCATTCCAGGAAAATAAGAAAAAAAAAACCAAAAAATTAATCAAAGAAAGAAATAGATAGAATGATGAAATTTTTTTAAAAAAAAAAGCACTTTCCAAATAATTCATATAAGAAATAACCAACTGAAAAAGATAATGTCGACTGCCAAAATATGACAGCCCCCACAGAAATCTAGCAATGAATGGGAGATCTGTAGAGGTAATCAAGATTCTTAGTAAGACCAAGCCGAAGCAATAGTAGAAAGCCCAAACATAAGGTAAAAAAGTCATCGACTGACAAAAATAACAACACAAACCAAAAGAAACTCACGATCCTCTGGAAGTTGATCCTAAAGCTGAGTTCGGGATCCAATCCATGCTCATGAAACTCTCCTCCTGTCGATCTCTTTCCATGAGCGGCAGTCTCCGCTGCCGCGGGCCCAGTGCCGCTGCCCGATGCCTCCCTTTGTTCGTCTGCGCTACCAGGGTTTAAAATTTCGAGTCGGAAGTCACCCGAGGAGATAGGGACGCCGTTGTAGGGCCTCCTCGCCGGGTGGAACTCAATTCTCCGAGAAAAAAACGGCTGCCCTGCCGCAGACATTGCTGCGACTGCCTTCTCAGCTGCGGCGTCCATCCCAACCGATTTGCTTGGAGAACTAGGTTATTACAGGATTCGGAGAAATAATTGTGTTTGGTAACATGCAGAATTTAACTTAAATCCTGTCAAACAAAAAAGAATAGCAACTTTAGGGGCTGTTTGTTATCGGATTTACAATGGGATTTTAAGTAGGAATTACTATAAATCCAGCCAAACGGTTTTTGTGCGCGCGTTAAATCCCGGCGATGGGTAAATCCCGGATTTAAGGATTTACGGCTTAAATTCCGGATTTACTAAATCCTTGGTCAGACGGATTTATGGGATTTAGCCGAAGAAGCGCGCAAAAGGTAGAAAGTTACCTTCACAGCCAGCGAGCTCCCGTGTTGCTTCCGATTAAAATGTCGTAACTTCCGATCCGAAAAGAAGGGAAGCCGTTGAAGGAGCGAAATCGAACAGCCACGACGGAGCCGAAGAAGCCACGCGTGCAATCTCTACACCTGCGAAGCAACGAAACCGAAACAGCAACGACGAAAAGAGAAGGAGCCGAAGAAGCCACGTTTGCAATCTCTACACTTGCGAAGCAACGAAGCCGAAACAGACACGACGAAAAGAGATGATAAAAAAGGCAAACCCTAGAGGCATCTAAGTCGTTATATTGATTAACTTAATTAATATAATTTAAAATACTAATAAATAAGTAAATTAATTAAATAATTTATTGTATAATTAGTGCATAAATTAATTATCTAATTTAACTTAATTAAAAATTAGTAATATAATAAATAATTAAATATTAATATAATTAGCTTAATTAATATATATTATTAAATGTATAATTAATAATGTAAATATTAATTAATAAGTAACTTGTACTTAATATTTTATTAAATTCATAACGCATTATTTTTTTAATTATCTTTTATTTTTAAATTTTTAATTATCGTCTTCACATTTAAATTCCTAATTATCATAAATCCTGAAATATGTTATTAAACTTAGGATTTAACAATATTTAAAATTTGTCGTACCAAATAGTTTTCAAGATTTAACACACTCAGGATTTACTAAATTTGGATTTATAGGATTTACTAAATTCCACTAAAGTTAAATCCCACTTGTTGCAACATGATTTAACATAAATCTTGCCAAACAATATTTCAAGAACACATTAATTCCACGGTGGGACAAATCCAACGTTACAACCTTTTTGTGGTAAATCTCGTTTTTACTAAATCCCTAACTCTGGCTATTTACGAAATTTGGTCGGATGGGAGAAAATGATTACCTTCATAATGAACAAGCTCGTTCTTGTCATCGTCTTTACTTCTAATCCAACTAAAGAATGACGAGCAAAAATGACTTCCGACATGACGGAAAGGAACGTCGCCCAAGGAGGCGAAACCGACTCATTCAAAATTTTACCTCATGCACGAAGCAGACGAAGTTGAAGGTAGGAATAACTGGAGAAGGGAAAAAAACAAACTCTAGGCTTACGGCTACAACAAGAGAAATTCTTGAAATGAGCAGCAATTACATGACAGAGAAGTATCATAAAAATTAATTAATTTGATTCAATTTGTTTAATTAAAACTAATAAAAAATTATATTACACTTAATAATTAATTAATTATATAGATTAATTTATGATTAAATTGAAAACTTTATTATATTATCTTATAATGATTAGTTATTAATAAAAAAAAATTAATAATTAGATTATAATACTTAAAATATATAAATTAAATTTAATAAGTTATATATAATTAAAATTTTTAAATATATTATTTTTGTAATTATAATTTATTTATTATAATTAAAATTGAGATTTATATGATAATCTGTAATAAAAAATAAATTAAGTAAAACTCAACCCCTAACGTCCTACCATTCAATAGAAATCAATCTAATTTAGCTTCAATTAATTAACTTAAAATATTAATATTATTAGATTATTTAAAATAATTAATTGTATAACAAATATTAAAGTAATAGTTGTATTTTTAGTAATTAAATATTAAATATATTTAGCTTAATTATTGTATCATTCAATGAATTTAATTAATAACATCTTGATATATATCTATATAAGAAAATTTAGTAAGAGTATTAGTTAAATAATAGTGTATTTCAAAAAAATTATGAACTAATTAAAATCGATACTAAATACTTATTTAAATTAACAATAAATAAGTACTTTGATACTTAGAATATTTGATATTAATCTTATTATCTATGACATCTCTCACTTAAACATTCAAACACACTTTATGGTTGTCGGAGTACTGAAGAGATGCATTTGTTCAAATGCGGAGTAAGGTCAGGGGAAAGTCCCGTGCTTGCTGGTGCTGATCGGATCGGGCTTGGCCTTACATTTTTTTCGGTGGATAGCGCTCAATCCTGCGGGTGCCTTTGCCGTCTAGTCGTCTCATGAAATCTCTCCTTTCGCCAACACAATGTAGTCATTTGAGGATAGAATTAAGGCGTTGTCCCGCAGAATTCTGCTAGAATGATCCTGTCTGTAGAACAAAAGAGTTACATATAGGACATTGAAATGTGTTGCATTATATACGAAGAGTAAGGGGTATACGAGTCGAGTCAAGGTCGGTTTAGGTCTTATCCGAGTTCGGCTCTGTAGTTTAAAAGTGAAGCTCAAACTCAAGCTCGTTCCAGTGTAAACACAGCTTCGAGCCGCTCGCCAGTTTCATGGGTGGGAATTTTTAAAATTTAAGGCAGGATTTTTTAAACTTAGGGGAAATTTTTTAAAATCTTAAGCGAGATTTTTTTAAGAACTTAGTCAAAATTTATAAAAAAAAAAAGATAAAATGTTTAACATTTAAGTGAAATTTGGATGATTTTTATTAATTTTTTTATATGAATTTAATAAATAAAATAAAATTATTTAAAAAATATTAATATTTATTCAAGCCGAATGGCAAGCTCACGAGCCGAGCCGGCTCAAACTCGAGCTCGTTTACTAAACGAGCTTGAGCTCGATATGCTTGACTCACGAGCCCCTAAAAAAATTGAGCTCGAGCCGGCTCGGCTCACTTACACCCTTAATCGAGAGTGACACGATTTTAGATAAAATGGAGGTTGATTGATGTGCAAAATGAGCAGGTTCCTTTACTGCCTGGGGGTCTGGAATTTTAAATAGGTCTGGCATCCGGACATAGCTCTACGTTCGAACGCCAGTATGATGGTGCCACGTAACAGCCCGAGAACCTGCCCCAAACCCATTGTATTTTAGAGATTTACCACATGTTTTAACTATTTCGGGTCGGTCCGACGACTATGTATGAATTGGGCGCGAAAATTTAAAACACCCTCCTTCTTTAAAGATTTAATAACTTTTGGCGGATTATTCTAGAGACGTTATACATGATTTAGGGTTTAAAGAGCGTAGAGAAAGATTTCGTGAAGGGTTCAAGGATATCGAAGAGACAAAAATGGAATTCTCTTTGGAAGACCTGAAAGAGTTCGAGGAGATTAAAGAGACGTATAATGTTGATGAAGATTTTTCTCATTTATTACAAGTAATTTTTTATCTATATAGAGGTTTTAGAATATAAATTTTAAATTCTAAAAATGTATGCACCTCTTATTTGCTACTTCATCTACTTATATTGTAACGGTCTCGGTTACTGATTACCAATATATCTCGGTATCAACCAATAACACATTTATTCACGAGTTTAACATTTATTGTACATCAAAATCGAGCAATATTACGATTCTATAGTATTGTGTACCGAGCATATTCACGAGTACTGATCTTTGCTCCGATATTAGCAGAGTTTCTTGAAACCCTGATTATTGATATACTTCGGTACCGACCAATACCAGGATAGCGTCGAGTTCATTGTATCGAGTCAGCTTAGTACCGAGAATAACTTTCGAGTCATCTCAGTACTGATCGGTACTGATAGTTATCGCTTGATATAAACTCATTATACATTGGTACCGAGCAATACTAGGATCATAGTACCGAGTACCGATCATTATAGCGAGACTGGCAGAGTGTCTCGGTATTAATTCTCGATAAAGTTTATCGATATTGAGACTCGGTATTGATACTAAGTACATAATCTCAGTATAAACTCAATATTTCTTTATACATGTAATTTTTTTTACTGCCAAGTCTATATAAGAATGTGAAATATGTTTGCACATGATATTTATAACTCTGAGAATGAAAGCATATGATAAGTATTGTCATTATGTGCATTCTCGTAATTTTAGTGTTCGGAAAGAGCATCATTCATTCTAGCCTAATTCAAGGAAAATAAAATCAAAGGACTTTGTATGTTCGAAAGCAGGATTCAAGAAGGGAATTAACTTAAATGTAAAGTCAAAATTTTGAAAATCAAACACAAGAACTGGGTGTCCAGCTATGGTTAGATTTGCAATTAGTGAAGATGGAATTTGGATGGTAAAAAAATTGATAGAAAGTCACAATTACGAATTGGTTAGATCGGATAATCAATATTTGCTCAAATCATCTAGGCACATTAGTGATGAGAATGCATCTGTTCTGAAATTAATGTCAGAAGTTGGGATAAGAACAATTAATATATTTACATATCTATCTTATGAAGTGGGAGGTGTAGAAAATTTGAGATTCACAAAGATGGATGCATACAACTACATTCAAAAAGAGATAATAGCTAAGATTGAGAATGGGAACACCAATTCATTAATTCAATTATTTAAAGAACAAGTAGCTACTGACAACATATTTGCATGGGATGTCCAAACTGATGAAGAGGACATGTTGTTGAATTTTTTTTGGGTTGATAGATTGGGGAGAATTGACTATGACTGCTTGGGGATGTGATTATTTTTTATACAAGCTACCTTATTAATAAATATAATATAGCCTATGAACCTATTATTGGAGTGAATAATCATTGCCAAAACATTCTATTATGAGTGACATTTTTATCTGATGAGACAATTGAGTCATTTATCTAGCTGTTTAGAATATTTTTAAGAATTATAGATAATAAACATCCCATAACTATATTTACTGATCAGGACCAAGAAATGGCTAATGTAATAAAGATTGCATTACATAATACATGCCATAGGTTATGTCAATGGCATATATATAAGAAGGCTCTTTTCAAAGTATGGTGCTTTAATAGTAACAACAAAGTGAAATACCTATTTTATAATTATTTCAACAATTCAGAGGATGAGTTTAAGAGAATATGTAATGAATGATCACAGAAGGAAACCTGCAGAGCTCTCAATGGTTGAAAGATCTGTATAAAATTAGGCAAAAGTTGTCAATAGCATTTAACAAAAATTATTTTAACCTTGATATTTTATCTACACAATGTAATGAATCCATCAATCATGTATGTCATGGCATTTCCAAGCCAACCAGTTATATTATTGATTGTTTCCTAGGGTTGGAAAAGGTGATAAAGACTTGATGTTGGAATGAATAAGATGAAGATTTTAGATCCAGTCAAACAGAGATACAACTTATAATTAAAAGTAGCTCAATATTAAAATAAGCTGTCTATTTTTATTCGAGAAAGTTGTACACATTTTTTGAAGAGGAGTTTTTACATGGTGTAGGTGGACTGTGCGT